AAATATCTAGTTTTTCACAGTAAAACATCTTTATAAAGTATTTAATAACATTAAATATCTAGTTTTTTCACAGTAAAACATCTTTATAAAGTATTTAATAACATTAAATATCTAGTTTTTCACAGTAAAACATCTTTATAAAGTATTTAATAACATTAAATATCTAGTTTTTCACAGAAAAAACATCTTTATAAAGTATTTAATAACATTAAATATCTAGTTTTTCACAGTAAAACATCTTTATAAAGTATTTAATAACATTAAATATCTAAGTTTTTACAGTTGAGGAGGGGTGGAATATTGAAGCTCAAGATCAATAACCTATGTGAGCATAATGAGGCAAAACGGTATAGTACAGTCAATATAATATTGAAGCTCAATATCAATAACCAATGTGAGCATAATGAGTCAAAACGGTATAGTACAGTCAATATTATATAAGTTAGACCATTTGAAAATGTTTTAATGTATATAACTTTGTTTCATTCTTGCTACGTGTTTTATAATTCAACAGAGGATACAGTTGAGGTCTTATAGGTGACTCTGAATGTTATTACGTCCTGGTCTATCTTTTAATTTATTCAGTTATTTTATTCTTTACATTTATTAGTTATTTAGTTTTAATTTTTAGAAATAATAACAAACTCTTTTTGATATCTTTGCCAAATACAAGGTCAATAGGTAGATTTGTTTTATATTATTCATAACCGTAAAAAACATTAAAAAACAAATGATGACATAATAAAAAAATCGAATGCAATAATAAAGTGATTACCACGGCGACCTTTTTATCCACAAATGTCCCTAAACGATATGAAATTCGCACATTATAGAACGTGTAACAAAAAAAAAACAAATGCCATATACATGAAAACACTTCTTGAATAGTCCAAATACAAGTCTTATATTATATTCATTGCACTAGGACTTTCCATAATTAGGTTTACGTCGGTTTATTGACGTTTAACCATCGTATTTCAACCCACATCAACTTTATAAAATTACTTTTATATCTTACTTGCATATGCAGATTTGTTTCTTTTTGTCTGTTTTTTAATGCCCAAAACATCCTTTCTGAACAAAATGTAAACGTTCAGTATTTTGTTTGTGTTGACTTCATTGACCTGAAACTGGTTTAAAAAAATACAACTTTCCAGCGTCTTTCAGTGAGATATACCTAAATACGAACTCCTTGATTGACTTTTGAGGCCCGCCATGGCCAGGTGGCTAGGGCGCTCGACTCGCAATCTGAGGGTCGCGGGTTCGAATCCCCGTCTCACCAAACATGCTCGCCCTTTCATCCGTGGGGGCGTTATAATGTGACGGTCAATCCCACTATTCGTTGGTAAAAGAGTAGCCCAAGAGTTGGCGGTGGGTGGTGATAACTAGCTGCCTTCCCTCTAGTCTTACATTGCTAAATTAGGGACGGCTAGCGCAGATAGCCCTCGTGTAGCTTTGCGCGAAGATCAAAAAAAAAATTATTGACTTTTGATCTTGTCAGTTCTTATTAAATTTACTCTAGTCAATTCTCAGTTCACTTTACAAATGATAACCTTTCGACAGTCTATCTCTTCCTAAAGGGTCAGTAATTTGTATCCCAACAAGTAAATATTTGCATAAAATAATGACAGAAAAAATGAGAAAAAAAAACACATTAAATTAGCCAGTAAGTTCGGATATAGAAGTTAATACACTAAGCCATTTTTGAAAGACGAACTAGTTCATTTTAAATAGCTTCAAATTATTATTCTTAACTTTCTTTAACGCAAACTGGAGTTTATTACGAGACATTTCTATAAATTTAAATAAAATCACGATCTATATCTCCAGAATGTATCCTTATTAGCTCAATATCTCGCTTTTACAACCTCGCCAGGAGCTGTAGAAGCGAAATACTGAGCTAATAAAGATATATTCTAGATACATAGGTCGTGATTTTATTTTACGTTTATAGAAAAGTTTCAAATTAGATTTATAACTTAATTGTTTTATATATTAATAAAACAACCTGCTTGTTTATCCACATTGTTGTGGTTTTATATCAGGAAAGGCATTTTGTGAAGTATTGTTAATATTCTAATTACGCTAGAATCTAGTTCATAAACAAGACAACTGTTAATATTTTATGCACTTTCCACCATAATATATGATGATAAAGTACGTGTAATTTCATGAAATTATTAGTAACAAAAATGTACCCTAAAGACACGTTTGATCTTTTTATACTCATTATAAATATAAATCAGTCATCGTTCGCCTCAAGACTTTTACAGTCGACAACTCAAAAACTCAAATTCTCTGATCAATTTCAAAATTAATACATGAACTGTTCTTTCGGCTGTAACTACAGTTGAAATAAGAGAACATTTATAAACCTATATATGTTGGTTGTTTTATCCAATTACTTTAAGTTTTGAAATTGCCATGATTCAGTAATATGGCAATACCACCAGAGGTCGCCAGAAGACGAAATAATTTAACAGATCTAACTTCTATAAGTTCAGTTGGATAAGCCAATAAAAACACAGTGTTCGAAACTTGTTGCGTAATGGAATGAAAACCAGCTGGTGTGATAAGTAAAAAAATCCTCAAAATTGTAACTACGTTTGAATCCTTATAATGATGGAGTGTTTGAGCCTAAACAAACAAAACATTGTAGTCATTTGACATTTTTACAAACAATACCAGAGTTTAATCTGTAGAGAAAAAATATACCTAGTCATTGTTGCTGGCGGGAATATTTAGAGTTGTGAAAGATAACAATTTAAACGTTAGTGAGGCTACCATCTGAGATGGGGCTGGAGGGGAGAAATGTAGTAGAAATTGGCAACCAAGAATAACACTACTAATAAAACGCTTATGGGGCTTACTTACTATCCATAATGAAATAAAGATTTGAAAATATGTGTATCTTGCTACTCTTTTGCACCTGTCAAAACTCGAACCAAAAATAATAAATTACTGTATATTGTTTGAAAGCGTTAAAATTGAAAAATTGAAAAACAGGGACGTCTCCTCGCCTCGAATCCCCCCCCCCTTTTTTTTTGTTTTTCTCACTTTAAAACACAAAATAATATATTTAAGTTTAAAATTAGATAGAAAAGCATTACCACCTACAGTAGGCTAGTTAGGAGTGTGGAGGAATTAGGTCTTTCCTTGTGACGTCAGATGTATCGG